TGGTAGTTGTGTTCATTTTCCTGAGACTCATCTTTTGGTGCACTGGGTCTTAGTTTATTTGCAGACAAACATGAAATATCACTAAATGTTCACTCCATCTCTTCACTTTTTGTCCTTTAAATATATGTTCTCCTTCCCTTTTTCATTTCTCCATGCTTTCACTACTTCCATGTTCCCTTCCCATTCTAAATCTAATCTGAAAACATGACAATCCACCAAAAAACGAGATATTTGCACCACAAAAAAAGCAGGACTATTTTTCACATTAAGATATTTGAATGCAAATCTATTCATTTTAACATTTGTTTAACTTTTATTTCCAAAGGTTTCAATTGCATGACTTAATTCGATAAGGATTTGATTTTCTAAATGTGCTTGCTTCTTGTAAAGTAAAATATGCTTTGTTTTACAGTAAAGTAAACTCTCATTGCTCGAGCTCCCTCGGCTGCAGCACTTTCAGAAGCACGCAGTTCACTAACTCAACCTATACTCACATTATTCACACATGAGTGAGTGTTTGTGTTTGGGTCTGCATTGATCTGCTTCTCAGTGTGAGAGGACAGTAGTGAGCTCCACATGTTGGAAGGATCTCTGCTGCCTCCTACTGGTGAGAAAATAAAAGTGTTTGAAACTAAAGACAGCCGAACAAGAACTCCTTTAAAATAGTTTATTTTCACCTGAGAACGTTTTTATTTCCAACACAAAAAAGTCTCAACAAAGCAAAACACATTTCACTTAAAAGGTGTTACATGGAAATATATTTGCAGTCTGGTAAGGCTAACTTAAAGGTAACTTAAAGGGGACCTATCATGCAAAATGCACTTTTGTACGTCTTTTATACATGAATATGTGTCCCCGGTGCGTCAGGGAACTCACCAAGTGTCAGAAAACACAACCCTCTCTCTTTTCCTCCGTACCCAAATCTCTAAAAAAGGGGCTGCAACGGATCTGATACAGACTGATCCAGACTTCTCTGACGTCAGGACGGTGGTGCTACGGCTATTGGGCCAACTCTCCACCCATCAGGGGAATGTGGGGTTGGGCCACGGCCGGCCATTGCTGCTCGAAAGCGCTGGAGACGCTGTAGTACATATGCCAGGCCTGTAAGTGGCGCTGTAGTCTGCCACAAAAGCAGCGAAGAAGACTTCCCACTAGGGGTGTAACGGTTCACAGAAGTCACGGTTCGGTTCATACCTCGGTTTGGTGGTCACGGTTCGGTACGGGTTCGGTACAACAAGGAAAAGCAAAAAAAAAGTCCCAAATGCATCATTTATTTTGCTGTTATTTATTTTTAACAGTAGTGCAGGTTTTGGTATGAAAATAAGGAACTCTAACATTTGGAATCATTAACTGTATTACACAGTTAAAAACAAACCACAAACAGTAACACACACACACACACACACACACACACACACACACAGATGGCCATATTAATTATAATGGATGTCAAACAAAAAGGTTAAATAAGCTGTACAACTAAAAAGTGTCTTGAAAATATTAAAATAAATAATAAGAAAGTGTTTCAATCACAATTAATAAAAGGCAATACAGAACTGTATAACATCTCCTGATGTCAACATATAAAATAAATACAATGATAAATATAAAACAAAATAAAATCTGTACCCTACCTTTAGGAGCAATGTCTAACATGTGTAATTAACTTGTGAGTGTGTGAGGCCATTATGCCTAAATAAAGGTACTCAAGCTTTACTCTATTTTCACGTTTTTCTTCAAAAAGATGAGTTTGTCTACGTTGTCAGTAGTGAGGGCAGATCTGTTGGCGGTAACTATGTCACCTGCCGTCGAGAAAACCCTCTCGCTGGGGACTGAGACTGACTCGGATGTGATTGAGCATGTTTGACGTGTTACCACTAGCATACCGCACCGCTGTCAAACAACGCCGACACACCGTCAGTCCGATCCACAACTCGCACCCCATCATTGTTGTAGTCCACAGGGAACCTGAAATGTTCCCACACACCTGATTCAAAAGAAGCAGGTGGGTCTTCTAGCTCCTGTGTGTTGTGTGAACTCGCCATAGCTACTAACTGTTCTTCTTCATGTATTGTGTTCGTTTTGTTGTGTTTTGTTCTTGTTCTTCATTTGTTATTTACGGGCGGCTGGCTTTTAGGCGCAATACCGCCCCCTGGATTATATATAGTGTAATACTGCCCTGAGTGACAGACTTTTTTTTCCCACAAAAAATGCGTATTCGCCGTGTGACTGCATGTGCCGAACCGTGACGTCCGAACCGTGACGGTACGGGACGAATACGGATACCGTTACACCCCTACTTCCCACGCATGGTTGACATGGTTGCCCTTCTGTTTATTCTCCGCTGTGGCTCTTTTTCTCCCTCCCCGAGGCAAGCGTTTGCTCCCGCGGCTGTAATTCAATGCAATCCCTCCCCATCGAGGCAAGCACTGTAATTCTCTCCGGTAGTCCACCAGCAGATGACAAACACCCACCTCTCCGCCTCTTCCAAGGAACGAGGGGACCGTGCAGCAGAGTTTCAGTTAGATTTTGTCAACATGTCCGTTAAAGTTTACATTTTCCGGACAAAATAAGAAAAGTGCCGGCCAAAGGTTGTTATTTATTGAGCTTTAAAACAAATTAATAACTATTCTATATAATAAAACACGGAGGACAGAGATCTATTTTTCTCCCCCTCTTCTGACTTGATCAGAGCACACTCCCCTCTCCTGCAGGGGGGCGTGGTCAGCTGCAGCTCACAGAATCAGTGCGCTGCAAAAACAGGGCTGGAAAGAGCAAATAGAGCGAAATGAGGCATGGCTAAAATGCATGATCTGTTTGGTATTTTGAAAAAAATATATATTTATATACTTTATATAGGTATGGCCCTACAATATATCATTTAAATATAGCATGATAGGTGTCCTTTAATTTGGTAAAATACAACACAATCAAATCTACTAAAGAAAATGCAATATTTCATTAAATGATATAACTAAACAACGGTTAATTAAACTAAGCAAGAATTAATTTAAGAAAACACATTTTGCCCATGCTCTAAGTATTAAGAATACAGTACATCTCCAACATGTCTGAACCTTTTTCACAATCCACCTCTAGAGGGACTCACATGTTTTCATGAAGCTGCTGCTGTACTCTCACTTTGATGCATTTAAGCCAAAAAAGCAAGCTCTGCTAGCTGTGCCCTTAAACTCTAAATCTTTGATCCAAGCGATCACGCTATTGTTTTAAAGATTACATCGGTTTCTTTCTTGGTTTGTTGATGGTGGCGTAGAGGAGGCTGGGATCAGCGGAGGCAGCAGAGGAAGAGGAGGGAGCTCTTACAGTGCTGTAGGTCACTGCATCATCTTCATCATCATCATGAAGATGAGCCTGGAGGGGAAGAAAAGTGATTAAGCATAAAGGAGTTCTGAAAGTCCTGATTTTGCTGTCATGTAACAACTGAGTCATTCCCTCTGCTTCTGCTTTTGGAAGAGCATTAAACCTGCATTTCCTCTCATGGCCAGCAGGGGGCAACACATATGGTTGCAGAAAGCAGTCAGATTGTATAGAAGTCTATGAGGAAATGACCCTACTGCCCACTTGATGTATTACCTTAGTAAACATTCTCCTAAGGAGTTTATGGTCTCAATCCCTAGTTTCTGGTCTTCTTTAATAAAGAATGATGCTCTTTTGGTAAATGATGGTCACATTTTAAGTAAAATAGACGATAAAGCAAAGTGTGATTTAAGGCGTGCTACATTGTGATTGACACGTTTGTACCACGACATTGACCGTGATTGGTTGCTCTTCGTTTTTTTTCGTCTTACAACTTTAGCCCTGTATATTGTCATTTTATGAAAGTTTTTTTTAATGTTTTTGGTGAATGTTTAGACATTTTTGGTAAAGTTATTACATAACAAATTGTATTACAGCATTCAGTTGTATAAAGATTCACCCTGTCATGCCACTTCTGGTTGCAAAAACGAAGATAATAACAAACAAAATGAAAAACTCAAGGCTTAAAAAGGCAGTCCTCAAACCAGTGGCTGTGCCAGAGTATTTTTGTTGGGTAATCTATGGTAGGGCTAACCCATACCGTGATGGGGCTCAAGTCAGTATTTGTAATGTAATTACATACACGCTATATCGCTCCACTTGACAGTGAAACGCCAAGCGTGAGGCTTTTATTAGTCTCCTTTTATCAGCTAAATTACATCGAGAGCAACAGGTGTGAGTTAAACAATACAATAGCCTATTCTGCTAATTCCACGTTGTTACAACATGCTACGCAGCGGCAGAAACAGGAAAAGTTGGCATATATAATTGAC